ATGGATATCATCAAGAAATCGGATAACAACAAATTCTGGTAAGGTTCCTGGTGGGGGGGAAAAATCCTTCTTCATTGTTAGTTGGCATATAAACTAGTACAACTATTATGGAAATCAGTATGCTGAATTCAAAAAATATTAAAAGAAGAAATTCCATTTGCCTCAGCTATCACCCTTCTAGGTATCTTCCCGAAAGAGTTAGAGACACCATATTAGAGTGACACATGCATACCCATGTTTACAGCAGCACAATTCACAATAGCTAAAATCTTGGAAGTGGTCTATATGTACATCAACAGATAAATGGATAAAGAAAACATCGCCTGTATACATAATGGATTACTAGACTGCCATAAAGGATAGACTTGAGTCATTCATAAGAAAATGGATGTACCTTGAGACCATAATTTTAAGTGACTATAGTAAAAATCAGACACACAAGCTTAAATATCACATGGTTTCTCAGATATAAGAAACAAATGAGCAAAATAAAAAATTATATTAAAAAAAAGAGATGAAGGGAGGTGGGAAGGAGGTTAGTGAAAAAAAGGTACCTGCAGTGGAAAGTACAGGAAAGGGATATAAACAGAAATAAGATGTGTTATGTTCAGGTACCAACTCCTCACAATTAATGTAATCATTATGTACTACTAATAATTTTAAAAATAGGAGGTTGAAGTCAAGATTTTCAGGCCAAAACAATCCATTTGATTTTATTTTGTTGGGCTTCTGAGCTCCATGATCACTAAATCCTTTTCAAGTTTTAAAACAATACGTCTCCTCCAAAATAAGACCTAACTGGAAAATAAGCGCTGCCTGGTCATTAACATGGTGATGACCAGTGTCATGCAGAAGTTTTGCCTTACTATTCTCTTGCTCAGTGGCTAATCTGTAATGGCAGGTAAGGCAAAAATAGGCTGATTCATGCTTGCATTTTTGATCTCTAGTTTTCAAGGCTGATTATCTTCCAGTTAAGTCTTATTTTGGAAAAACATGGTAGATGCAGAAAACATATATGTTCAGGTAGAACATGAGAAACACGGTGGCTACAGCAGACTTTGGACTCAGTGGGTATATAAGAGAAGCTATCTAATTAGTTTTGTATATTCAGATGGGTAGTTATAGGAGTACCGGCACTAAAAGCAGGTTTTGAGAATGGAGCCTTGTTTTAGAAACAACCAGTTACCACCTGAGGCACATTTGCATGAGTGAGTGGGAACCAGATGGTAGCAGCAGTGTGAGGTGAGATCTGCTCTCTGTATCCCTCTGAAAGTTCAGTCTTGCCTGATTTTATGAGACGATGAGTCATAAAACAAGTCATTGTGTAATGGCTGTGTGAGGTGAACAAAGCCTGTATTTTCCAAAAGACCTGGATTCCCCACCAGGTACATTTCTAAAGAGGTATGTGAGATTCACAGGTACCCATGTGTCCTCATGTTCACTGAAGGCACTTACTAGAGATACTTGGGTTAAGTGTCTGCATTCTCAGAACAAGAATAACTGCCCTTTCTACTTGATATTTCTAAGGATGCATCATCAGGAATTATTACACTGTTAGCACAAAGGTGTTTTACCACAAATTGATTTGAATCCTACAACACTGAGGAGATTCAAAGTTTTGTAGGCCAAATGGATGGAATCCCTTAATAATGATGCCAGGAATGCAAGTTGATGATATACAAAAGTTGTCATCTATATTAGTAAAGCAGAACTACATTGAGATTCAATTTTGACATTGCTTCTTAATGTGTTTTATATGAACTGAGGTACCACAGTCTTTGTTTACGTACTTACATTTTTAATGTGAGCACATTTTTAATGCAAATAAACTTTCTATATATTAAAACTTTTAAAATATTATCTCAAATGTTTCATGTTCACACAAATACATTTCAATATTGTCAAAATCATTTTTACTTGTTGGCTTTGTTCCAATATGCTCATATAATGCATCTTTAAAAACATTTAGCCAAATTAATGTGCATTATATGCCAAATATATGTGGTGTATCAAATGAGAAAATAAAAACAGAATTTACGTTTTGACCATAAGCTTGGTTAAGCAGTTGTCTTAATGAAAACAAAGGCAAACCAAAAGATAGTCAGAGCACAATTATGACTTGCATCAATCCAACTACAGAAAAGGGGATGGAAGGTTGAGGATTTTGATTAGGCTATCTCACAAAAGCCTCACTGATAAGTACAAACTTTTAAATTATTTCATAGAAAGAAGTGAATAGTTATGTAAAGAATAAATATAAAGATGTAAGTTTTATTTATTGAAGAAAAAGCCATGGATGTATTATTAATGTAAAATAGTACAGCTATTACAGAAAACTGTTGGGTTTTCTTACATACTCTTGTTTCAAGTAAGAGACTGAAGCATCTGGTATAAAAAAAGATGATATTAATTTCCAAATGTGGAGTAAGAACATCTATTCCAAAGATGGACAAGTGACTCTCTGTCAATTTAGGAAGAGAAAATTTTTAATTTACTAAATATCTCCAGTTTCTTGCTGACTCTAAAATTAGAACTGCCATATTACCCAACAATATGACTTTGGATATGTACCCAAGAGATAAAATACACACACTGAATAAAGACCTCTCCACTCATCTATTTATTGCAGCACTATTTATAATAATCATGGTATGGAATCAACATTGGTACTCTTAAAAAATGAATTGACAAAGAAAGGGGGACACATATATACAATGGAGTATTTGCTCATAAAATTGAAATTATGTCATTTTGAGGAATATGAATGAAACTATAGAAATTTAAGTGAAATAAGATATGCAAGGAAGAAAAAATACATACATACTCACATGTGAAATCTAAATTAAAAGCTGATCTCATAGGAGTAGAGAGTGAAAAGGAGATGAGTAAGGTTTGATAATTAGGAAAAATAAGCTCTAGTGTTCTACTACATAACGAGGTGACCACAGTTATTAATATAGCATGTATTACAAATTAGCTAGAAGAAAAGCTTCTGGATATTTTTAGTAGCAAGACATGTGTCAATAAAAATACAGGAATGACCACAAACCCACAAATTCAATGTATCTTTGCAGTAGAAATATTCCAAACTATTCACAGAACTGAAAACATTTCTGTGAGAGATGATATGAAGGAGAAAATGGGAAATCAAGAGCCATAACACAGGCAGGGAAGAATAGCTGTGATATATATGTAGCTAAACAAGAAACTGTAGGCAAGGACATACTAGAGATAATTAGGAAATGAAAAAAGAAATCTTAGATTCCAACAGTGTCAAGTGTGCAGCCTTGGAACAGGTTTCTTCTGCTTGCATGCAGAATTAATATCATTTTTTCACTTACAATGTTTTTCATCCTCTTAAATGAAACAATGAATTCATTCTATATGAACATTTCTGCCTATTTATGGAGTATCTACCATATACTTAGCACTGTTACATGTATTTGTTTACTTCACACAAATGGGAAAACAGCCTCATGATTTATGCATCACCAATTTTCATGTGAAAAAACTGGCTCAATGAATACATTATCTTTTAAAAAGTAATTAATCAAATTGAGAGGAACAGTAAGTTAAAATTACAATTATTTATCAGAGGGGCATCATGGAACACAACCAATCATACGATATGCATCTTAATATAGTTATCATAGAACTACATTTTAAAAATTAATTTTGGAACACAATTCAGTATCAAAAAACCATTCCTAAAATATCTGCAGAGGTAAAAGATACAATACTTTATAAATTTTTATCAAATAAGCCATATTAGGTTGGGCTGGGGATTTAGCTTAGTGGCTCTGCCGCCTTTCTTGCAAGCGCAAGGTCCTGAGTTCAATTCCCAGTACCAAAAAAAAAAAAAAAAACCCAAGCCATATTAGGTATTACATGAGTAACAGAAAATTTTAAAAAAATCATATTTAGCATAAGGAGATTCTAAACTAGGAATAGTATCTTGAGAAATAAATTAGTGTAGACAAGATATACAAAATATTTTCTTTCTAGTAAAATATGGAACCTTTTGAAATTAGCTTTTGTTTCCATAATACCATTTTTCTTATAGGTATTCACACACACAATTAATAACTCTATAAGCCTCCCATGCCTGAAGATATAATAATGTGTGTATATTTCAGTAAAAGTAAATTATTAATACCAAGGACTCTGTGTGTTCTATATCTCCAACGGGTAACATGTAAAAAATACTTTATGGGTAAAATTTCATAAATATTAATTAAGGATTCAGAAATGAAGGGCTTATAATGATAAGGGCTTATAATGATATATGTATAACCATCATAATTTCCCAGTCACTAAAAAAATGAATAAAATGACAGAAATAATTGTATCCAGATTATTTGAAGTTTAATGACCCTAGGTAAAAAATTACTAGAGAAGTTATTATGCTGTTTATCCAGCAGTACATTATCATCTGTTACCAGCAACCTTCAGTAGTAATAGTTTAATGCCTAGGTTAGAATGACATGTCACTCAATATTCAATATTGTTAACACATTAGGAATATTTAACTTATTTCTTTAAAAACTTAAAATTTATATATAATCTCCAGAAAATTAAAAATTCATTCTATATTCTCTGAGAAACAATTTAAAAACTTTCAGAAACCTATCTTGTTCTGATACAATGTCCAATTTGGAAGATATTCTTTGTCCAGTTTTCAAAAATGAGGCTATGTAATAAATATGGATTAATAATCAACATATTCCTTTAGAGATGAGTAATCTGTATTATTCTCTGATAGGTGTGGATATGTTTTACTTTCTATCATGTCAAGTAGTAATGTCTAGTATATTTTAAGCAACAGTTATCTACCACATTTTCCTATTTGTATGATTTATCCCTAGTAATGAGTCTCTCACATTATGGTTAGAAATGTGAATAAAGGCTATTCTATACCTTTACATTCGTAAATTATTTTTTTCCAAAACAAAATATTTTGATGTTATGAAGTACACATTTTTCTCAAAGTCACTCTAGTCAATACATATGTAAGGTTTTAATAAAAATCTGTATCCTCTCATGTTGAAGACTGAATGTCCATGAAATTTTTTTCATATTTTTGTATTTGTAGGGTTTTTCTCCAGTATAAATTCTCTTGTTAATTAAAATCTGAAAAATTGTTACAAGCTTTTCCAGATTTACCTTTATAGGATTTTTATCTAACATGAATTTGGTGATGTTGTCTAAGATTGGAAGTATGTGTTCTTTGGTGCCGAGAAAGATGTGAAATTTGATTAAAAGTTTTGTCACATTCTGTGCACTTGTAAGGTTTCTCTCCAGTATGAATTCTCTGGTGTTTAGTAAGGGTTGAGCTTTGATTAAAGGCTTTGCCACATTCTTTACATTTGTATGGTTTCTCTGCAGTGTGTATTCTTTCATGATTACTAAGGTTAGACCTTCGATCAAATGCTTTGCCACACTGTTTACATTTGTAGGGTTTCTCTCCTGTATGAATTCTCTGATGTTGAGTAAGTGTTGAACTTTGATTAAAGGATTTCCCACATTCTTCACATTTATAGGGTTTCTCTCCAGTATGAATTCTTTCGTGTCGAGTAATGGTTGTACAATATCTAAATGCTTTACCACATTCCTTACATTTATAAGGTTTCTCTCCCGTATGTGTTCTCTGGTGCCGAGTAAGATGTGAAGTTTGATTAAAGGTTTTGTCACATTTTGTACATTTGTAGGGCTTCTCTTTAGTATGTATTCTCTGGTGTTGAATAAGTGCTGACCTCTGAATAAAAGCTTTGCCACATTCTTTACATTTGAAGGGTTTCTCTCCAGTATGAATTCTTTGGTGTTGAATAATGGATGTGCAGTATCTAAAGGCTTTGCCACATTCTTTACAATTGTAAGGTTTCTCTCCCATATGTATTCTCTGGTGTTGAGTAAGAGGTGAAATTTGGCTAAAGGTTTTGTCACATACTTTACATTTGTAGGGTTTCTCTTTAGTACAGATTCTCTGGTGTTGAGTAAGTATTGACTTTTCAATATAGGCTTTGCCAGATTCTCTACATTTATACAATTTCTCTCCAGTATTAATTGTCTGATGCTTAGTAAATGTTGAGTTTTGATTAAATGTATCAGAATTTTTACAACTGTAGGATTTCTCTCCAGTAAGAATTAACTGGTATTGAGCAGGGGTTAAGTGATACTTAAAGGATTTAGCATTTTCTTTAAATCTGTAGGACTTCTCTCCAGTATGAATGCTCTGATGTTGATTAAAGATAGAATCATCAACAAAAGCTTTGCCACAGTCTTTATAGTTATACACCTTGTCTTGAAAATGGGCACTTTGATGGGTAGTAAGTTGTGAGCACTGGTCAAAGACTCTCCCACATGTATCACATTTATAAATATTCTTTGAAAAATGTTGTTTACTAGGATTTGAGCCATGGTTAAAGTTTTCAGTAATTTTATTACAAGGATAAATTTTCTGTTCAATATGAGCATCCTGGCAATTATGTAGAGTAGAGTTGTTCTTAAAGGCCTTCCCATTTTCATTATATATGTCATGAGTTTGCCAAATATCTATATATGGACTTTGACTGTGCATTAATGGATAGGTAAATTCCTTCCCATGTTTGTCAAAACTGCATATTTTGGCACAGGAAAAGGTACACTTAATAGTCTGATGTGGATTACTAAAATGAAGTGGCATAAATTCAGATATATTCTGTGATGCTACATGTTCTTGATTTCTATTGACAGTGAAGCTTTTGTTATTTTCAGTTGTCATACATTGGTGGTGTCCATTATGAAATGGATTCTCATCTTCACACTTACCAATTTTCCAGTCTTTCTTTAAGTGCAAACTGCTAAAGCCACAATTTCCAGATCTTTGATTTATCACTTTTTGAAATGAATGTTTCATGTCCTTCTCTGATGAAAATCCTTCAGTATGATGAGAAGACATAGCTGAAGAAATAAAGTAACAAATTATCCCACTTAGGTTGATATAGCTTACAAATCTAATACATAACATTATACCAATCTGAAGAATTCAGCAAGGTAATAGAATACAAAAGTTCCTCATTTCTCACAAATATATGAACTTAACAAAACCCTCAGAAGATTATCCAGAACTCTCAAAACCAGTTATAAGTTCACAGCACTCCAGTTGAATGTAACCCTACAGAGAGTCACATACTTGAGGGAAAAAAAGTTATTGGTAGAAGTTATTTTTGTTAACCACAACTCATCCTCTTCAGTACTAGGTAGTTACTATACTCCCAAACCTTTTCTTTTCCCTCAGGAAACACCGAGGATCACATATGGACACATTCTGGATTTGGGGACTGTAATAAAAACTGCCTTCTGTTTATCCTTACATGGAGAATGGGAGATAAGAGATATATTTTACATGAGAGTTCCTGTCATATGAGACCAAATCTAACTAGTAATTAGTACAGGAGCAAAGTGAGGAGAGTACCACATATAGTCAACACAAGTAAGAGGGACTATGGGGCATTGAAAAATATAAATAAGCCTTTTTCATTAGAAAAACACAAATGTAATTCTAGGGAACACTCATACAAAAACAGGTTTGAGAGACACCAATGTCTCTAGCATAGATGATTGAATGTTGCCAAACCATAGACACTGAGAAATGAATTTTCATATTATTTTGTAAAAATTTGAGTTGGTATTTATTCACTTAAATTGCACATATATACCATACATATTATGCTGTTTTCAAATTATTTTACATAATGATCATTTCCATTCTTAGAACACTATATGCGTTCTATTAGCATTTCTGAAGAATACAATGTGTTAAATATATTCACCATGTTGCAATAGATATCTCTTGAATTTTTAAAGCTGTTTTACCTAAAATTTGTAATCTTTGAGTAACATCATCTCAAATCCTCTGCCAATAATTATAGGCCATAGTAACCACCATTTTACTCTCTATGTATCTAAAATCAACTTTTTAAGATCCCACATATAATTTAGATTATATACTAATTGCATTCTGCTCAGTTCAGTTATTATGAAGTCCTGCATGACTACTTGTACTGAATCAAATGACGAGATTATCTCTTTTTATGGCTTAATTGTAACCCACTTATATATAAGATCATATATACCATATGTACCATATATACCATATGATCTTATTCTTTCATCTATTAAAGAGAACTTAGATTGATTCTACTTCATGATATCATGAATAATGTTGCAGTGAACTCTGCATTGTAAATATCTCTTCAACACAGAGACTTATTTTCCTTTGACTACAGATTTTGTAGTGGGATTGTTGGATCAGATGGCTTTTCTATTTTTATTTGTTGTTCTTTTATATTGCTGGAGATCAAACCCAGGGACTTGTCTATGCTAAGCATGTGCTCTATAAATAAGCAATACCTTCAGTCTTATTTTTAATTTTTTGAGCAACTTTGATAGTTTTCCATAATGACTGTAGTAATATACAGCAAGATGGTTCTTAAGTATACAAATCTCAACAAAAGTTAACACAACAAAGGCACAGAGAAAAACAGTGCCCAATCAAAGAACAAAAGAGTAGAAATTAACCCTGAAGAAAATGACATTTATGAATTTTTAAAGAATTTAAAATAATCATTTGAAGCATGCTTAATGAGATAAACAGAACCTGAAGGGACTCAGGACAACAAAAATATTAATGTATAAACATTATAAATATAAACAATCAGAAAGGGTGTAGTTGAGGACAACAAAAACATTAATGGATGAACATTTTAAATAGAAACAATCAGAAAGGGTGTAGTTGAAGAATTCAATAAGTAGCAATGCCTGACAGAGATATCTACACTCAAATAGCTCAATTATCTCCAAAATGGCCACTTGGAATAAACCTACAAAAATTTAAATCTATATCTATAGGAAGTACTTTTTAGATCTATGTACATAGAAAGAGAAAGTGAAAGGATGACTATGATATTTCACAGAAAGCTGTCAAAAAGAGAGCAGGAGTGACCATAAGATAAAATATTCTTAAAATCTGATGTACCATTTAAATAATTATTATGGATAAGCATAATTTTCAGCTATGACTATACACCCATGATGTACTGGCTTTTTGTTTCACTGACATTCATTTTATGGCATAAGAATTTCCACAGAACATCCATCAAAATCACACATAAAGTGCTGTGTTGAGACAATTTTAATGAATAAATATAGAAATCTCACAATGTGACTAATATACTAAATTAGATTAACATAGAAACCTTTAGAAATTGGCACAGATCTTCTGAGACCACTAGAGACAATAAAAGAGCAGTCAGAGCATGCAGACCCTCACAGGTGACAGTGATAACATTGGCTGTCATTGTGAATAACCTAGATCACTGGAGAGAAAGGAGAAGCCACAGAGGAATCAAGAAAGAGGGCGATGGACATAGGGCAGGAGAGTCCTTTTTTGATACCAAGAGGAATAAACTTGATTTCTAAAAACCATTTCTATTAGAGTAGAAGCTCTCAATCAATATTATAAACCCTGGCTTTTTCCTTGACCTTTAAGCCTCTCATCTGTGTCCTCTGCTTCATTAATCTCTACCTACCTGGATGAATAGCTGCTGTCCCTTGACTCTTTACATCCCAAAGCTCCTTGCTTTGCTCCAGAAAGGTGATCAGGTATGGCTTAGTGACAGCTAAACCTGTTAATTGAAAAATGGAACATGGTACTTGCTTTACTTTCTCCCAGCAACTACTGACATTTCTTTCTGAGTAATAGTCATTAGAAAAGACATGAAAGAAGATTCTAAAAATTTCATTCCCCAAAATATTTCCAGATAGCCATTTGACTGTATAAAAAGCATTTCTAATTTGTAGATCCTGAGCTCCACTTTCAACTACTAAATCAAAATTAATGGGGAGGGGGCTATAAGTTATAGGAGACAATTTTTACACCACCGAATTTCTAAAATTATCATTGATCACAGGGAAGGATGTGTAATACTTCAAGTAAGAGGCATGCAAAAGAGAAGAATGAATGACATAAAAAATTTCTTGTCTACAGAGAACCCTCAATTTTTTTCTTTGAAATCAAAATTTAAAACTCATTCATATGAAGCAGAAGCTTCCAAGAGATATTATAAAAAAGAATGGAAATTAATACTGATTGTGAATTAGGAATTCTATACTCACCCAGGGAGAGGAGGTTTCTATAGTTCTCTATCATCACATCCCTATACAAATTCTGCTGAGCCGGCTCCAGGAATTCCCACTCTTCCACAGAGAAATCAATGGCCACATCCCTGAATGTCAACATTTCCTGAAATCAATCAATCAATCAATCAAACACACTTTGATTCTGTAGTCACTGACACAGCTCATAATTTGACCCAATATGAAATGAGTTAAAATTGCATTTGACATAGGTAATGATCTTTATTATTTTATAGGGTACTTTTAAACACAAACATTCTTGAATGCAGTATTATTTAATTCTGAGAAAAAAGCATAACACAAAATTCACAAAGCCAGTGTAAACACATTTTAAAATTCAAAATATAAAATCAACACAGCAACATACGTTTCTAAATATTCCATTTATATTTTAACAGGTAAGTTCTATATATTTCTCATGTAAGAAAGTTGTCATAAGTCAGAAAAGTACTTCTCAAATTTTAATGTTACAACCAATAATGGGAGACCTTATTAAAATGCAGATTGTGATTCAACAGTGGTGTGCTTTGGGCTTCAGAATGTGTGCAAAGCTTAGAAGTAATCCTAAATTCCATGGTCCAAGGAGACACAATTTTAGACAGCTTTTAAAAGGTAGCACATCAAAGATTTCACATATGAATTTAAATGAATACATTTTACAGTATTTACACATTTTAATATAATAGCAAGTACAGCAATCCTTTCTGAACATATTAAATATACTAGGTATAATTCTATTGATTTTTATATCTTTTTTATTAGTACATGTTTGTAGTACATAATGTTTAGATTCCTTGTGAGAAATCGCTACATGTACATAATTCCCTTTTTTTCCATCCCCCCTTTCCTTTCCATCTCTCCTCCCTCCATTTCTTGATGTAACTTTTGATAGCAATATTTTTCTTCTTACATACTATGTTTTTCCAAATATCCACTAAATTTAATCAATTTTATTCAAGTTCATGTCACCTAAAATTTTACATAAAACAAAGGAAAAATTATTAATGCTAAAAGAATGTGCAGAAAACTTTTCGTAACTGAAGATATGCATGAAACATGTTGAGATAACTAAACAAAACTGATCAGCTACTACTTACATTTTATGGACATACATAAAACATAAACTACACAATGTAAACAGTAAAAATGTTTAAATCAATAAAAATAAGAAAATTGTTTAAAACCTGTACATCTATTGGGGGATGATATTCTATTTTATTTTTTAATGACAACAATGAGACAACCATATTTAAGGATAGAAACTAAAATAAGAACACAGGTTCTGAGTCTGGTGTTTCAGTAATTATTTTTCTTTCATTGATTATTCTGTTGAGCTATACCACAGGCTTTTAAGACACTTTGAAATGTCTTACATGATTCTTGTTTCCTTTAGTGAAAGTAGAAGGAAATAATAATGTATGTCAGTGATTAGGTAGAATAAGAAGAAAATTTAAAGGACTAAGATCTGATGGTTTCAGAACCTCTGAAAATACTGCCAGAATAACCAGCAAATGAAAATACAAGCCTTCATTCTTCAAAGCAAACCACAATCAGAGAAATTTAAAAGAAAATAATTGTTTCTCTAAGTTTTTCAAGAAATCTTACCAAGATATTTAATGATAGAGAAAAGCAATTTCACCATAAAGAATATTGTAGACAGCACATTAACCAAGTAAGGCAAGTAACTCAGCTGTAAAGGGACAGAGTTTTATCACATGTCAATGCACAGAGACAGAAACATCAGCCCTGCTGTGATACCAATGGCCAAAATATATTCCTTTCTTTGCAGTTGTAATGGCAGCCAGGTTTCCTCTATTTATTTTACTAGCTAATGTTACCAGACCTAAGCCCTGGAACTCCATTTGAATTCATTTCTCCCAAATCACTGGAGAAAGGCATTATACTAACTCCATAGGCAAAACCAGATAAATAGGAATTTTCATTTAATGAAATATAGGACTGACATCTTTTTTCTGAAATCCATCTCTATGGAGACTCTTTGGAATCCCTTGCTTGTATTTTGTACTCTACTAATAAAACATATTTAATAGTAATAAAAACTGAGGCTTAAATAAGAGAACAAATCTTTTTAAGGCAACACATCAAGGAGGGTACTGCTCATGGGAACACCCAAAGTTAAACTCACATCATCCTGTCGCTGAAACATTCTCCTATCCCCAGTGTATCTCACTGAATTGCACTGTGGGTTCTTGGATCCACTTGTGGGAAGGGGTTTTCCTTTTTCTTTGGGATAATTTTTCTCTTTTCACAAACCTGAGAGAATCCAGAGGACTGATTTCTGTATGTTTTCCTGCACACTAGTACCCTACTTGCTAACCTCTAGCAATATCCTTCCCATACCTCAGATTATCCTTGAGAAAGGTATGTTCAGAGGCTGGTATTCACTAGACACTCCAAGAGAAAAGGTCCCTGTGGGCTGTTCTGAAATGCAGGATTAGAAAGGCCAGTGTAGTGGTTAAGGACATACTATCTTGCATAGTTTTCAATAAGGAACCTTAACCAAAAGACTTCATAAATCATTTGTGCCTAGAGAAGATTAAAAGGAAGGGGTAAGGATGAAAATGTTTTAAAGCCAGAATGACAGATGCTTTCCTCCTTTGTGAAATACTAACAAAGAGAAAACAAGTCTTAAAGTGCCAGGCATTACTTGGGGAAAATGAATAGTGTGTTGGGTTCTAATTCAGCACAGGGCCAATTATTTGGTAATACTATGAACTGAAGATAAGTTGGCATTTGGGAATACAAGTAGGGAACTGAAACTTCAGGAATTCATTGTCAGCTGTAGAAGCCAGCCTGAGGGAAAGAGCCCTAAATCTGAGGTCTTTCTTCACATACATTTGAAAAACTCAGGTAAAACCAGGTGACTCCTGGTAGGAGGGGACTATAGTCCCTGGTGACCAAAGCTGCCTGCTCACATGAAGCTTGTGCACCTGGCTGGGTCCTCCCTTGATAACATCACAGGAACACCGCACAATGTGGAGAGACTTGGAGATGCCCCAAGAAAGCTTTGAGCCAGGATTGGAAACCCTAGGTTACTACCGGCCACCCCCATACACACTACAGAGAGGACACAGGGTAAACGTGCTAAAGGCTGAGCCTGAAGATGGTCCTTTGCCTCCTCCCTACTCCCTTTCTCCTCCATAGATTAGAAAGCCAAACAGACTGTGTCAGTTTGTAGACCTTGGATGGCACAGCCCCAGGAGACAGTTACACTATGGATCCTTCCCTGTTCCCTTCCTGCACATGTCCGGATCATGAAACAATCACACTATGCTCCACCTAGGCCACATAGGCCATGTAGCACTATTTGCCCTGCCTTCTCTTCCTGTTTGTCTTCCACTATAAGGAACGTGTGGGACTCCAAGCGGCCTTAGCTCCTGACAAGCTATTGTTCCACCTGGTCCCAACTTTCAAGAATAGTCTTTGTTTCTTCATTTTTTCCTCATTTCCCACTTCTCTCCCTGACTTCGAACTGTAGCTACACTGTGTGGGTCACGGCAGAAATGTACCTGATGTGGACTCAGATCTAAAAAGTCTGGAGTTGAATGTGGGAAGAGCCCACTCTCACCACAGCAAGTTCTGGCTGGTATGAAAAAAACAACCTTATTATTATCTCTGGACTTCTATCCAGCAGACTCACACTTTCCCAGCACTTAAGGTGCCTGGCATCTTTAAGCACTTGCACATCAGAGAGAAATTGGTCCCCAGGCAGAGGTACCTGGGCCACCCAGAGCAAAGAAGCCTCCACAGTACCGCACAACAGAGACAATGCCATCCAGGCTTGTGGAAGAACTTCCTCTCTGCCAAAGGCCTAGCTGGCCACTTCCACACCAGCCCTCCTAACTGGAGAGAACGCCAGGTTTCAGCCTTCATTCACTTGGTGACAGAAGATGGGATCAGATCTTGGGCTGAATGAAATCAAAATGACAGGGTTAGGGGGAATACACAGCTTTTCAGAGTTTCCAATTAAATAGGTACATTTTACATTTCTATTTTTAGGCTTTCTAGAGCAGGCACACTTGCCTTCTTACCCTTTCTTCAGTGGCCTCTTTCTGTATCTTCCTCCTGGACATGGAGTCACAAGTGTTCAGGGAACTAAGCTCACTGCCCAAGAAGCCAGCTGTGGTTTCAGAGGGACGGAAGCCCCTAGCCATACCAGGACTCATGAGAACAAAGCAAGCCAGGCAGCAGCAATTTGAAGGAGACAGGTGGTGGCTGCAAAGACAAGGCTTCCTATATCTTTTCTCTCAGTATAGTCTTTTTCCACCAAAAAAGAAAAAGACTACAATAGGGTTTTAAAAAAAAAAAGTAAACATAAAAAAACTGGAATTATAGGGCAGGAATATTTTTAAAATGGAAATGGAAAGAAAAGTAGATATTTAAACCATCTCTGTTAAGAAGCCTGCTTCGCCATAGCTCACAACAAAAACCCGCACCCAGATGAAACAGACTCAAGCCTGTGGCCCAGATGTGACCATGTCTATGAGCCCTGGAGGGAAGGAAGTACTCTGGTGATGGACAAGGAATCCTGAAGACTTCACTCTGGGAGCTCAACCTGCTCTCCTGCCTGTGAAGTATTTTTCAATATATATATATTTTTAAATGACTCAAGTTCAAAGGCAGAGATTTAACTCTTACAATTAAGAAAAGTCCATGAAGTCCAAGGAAGAGGTAAAACACAACCTACAAAAATATTTGCAGTTCTTACAAAGCTTTAAATCATAGGAAAAAAGTCTAGAGATAATGAGATTAAGTTTAAAATTTAATACCATCACCTTTTACTTTTATGTGGCACTGCCTTATGTTTTGCTCATAATTTAAGAAACAATTGGGAGAAAACTTGTTTCAGCTTAATTTTCCCACTTAAATAATAGAAAAGTGTTCCTATTACTCAGCTGCAAAATTTATTATTTTCAAGGACTGAACTGTCTCAGACATTAGGGAATAACTTGTCATATTAACTCTTTTGGGGATATTTGGGATGAAAGAATAAACATGTTCACGACAAATCTTCTAAAATATTTGTTCTAAATTGAAGGCAATTCCTGTAACTGATAAAGAAAAGTTTAAACTTATTTGTGGTAAAATAAATAGGAGTCAAAATTCTGCATGCCTGACATCTATAATCGTGTGATGGTGAGCAACATAATTATCATCTGAAATACAATTTTTCATCATCCTAGTAAGTCACAAAGACCCTGGCACCACTTCTTCACTTCTAGGAAGATAAATTAGGATGGGAGAAGCATTATCATATCTCTAGGTACCAAGTATGGTGACAGACTAGGGTTTAGAGATCTCCATATCTGGAAATACAGAATTAAGTGAAATAATGAGAGTATATTGGGGGAAATGCAGACAGATTTTCTCAGTTATGACCAGCTGTCCCTACACCCCAGGCTCCTACCACAAGATCCCACCTATACATAACATTTATCACTATCACTCAGCCTATCACTCAGCTCAACTAATATATCCATTCTAACAGCTGGACCAAACTTTCCAATGGTATCCAGTCTTTGACAGCTCATGAACTAATATCACTCAAATCTTGCTCACTCTGACCGGTGAGTTCCCTCATACCATACAAGGTTTACTACTTTCAGGGAACAGAACCATCATCTAGCACTCCTCTTTCCTGTTAGATCTTCCTATCCCTGGAGATGAGCTCTGTGAAAACGTTCCTAAACTCAAATCAAGATTACTAAGAAGGCTATAATGTACAAGATCAGAAAGTTCATCTGCTGAAGAGACTGGATGAAACCATAAAAATACAACACCTTAGTCAGCACACATGTCACAATTAACTTTGTAAATTTGGTGACATTTACTAGCATTTTAAGTACATTTAAGTACACATGGAAAAACATGGCACGTAGTTTAAGGGGAAGACCATTTAGTGGCAGAACTGAAATGTGAACTCACCATACACCTCCTGTATTCACACTACCTCCATATCCCACCCCAGGTGTTGCCATCTTGGACTGGACCACACATTCTATGGAGCTTTTGGCATGTGTTCCTGTATACATGAAAGCATATATACTGCCTTCTAAGAACACCATCTTTTGACTGATCCATTACTCAAAGGAGAGCTGCAGTTGCTATTTCTCAATCCTGGATTCATATGAAGATCTCCTGCTAATGTCCTCCCTGACAGCCCAGTTCCATGGATTGCAGGTCAGTCATGCCATCCCACACCTGAGATCTATCAATCTTTCTGCTCCTACCGAGTGGTACATCATCCATCCTATTCCCCAACATCTCTCAAAGCCATGGTCTTCTCCTTGTATCACCTGCAGGGACATAGAATCTGTCACCAGAATCTGCAGGGCACCTCGGGGAGAGCTAGCTAGCACTGGGAATTTCTGGGAGTAGTGAGCATTAGCCCACTTGCACAGAAGGAACTACTAAAAGATTCTGTGCTGATAATATCCCTAAAAAGGAGACCAGACTTCCCATAAGACCCTGTGTTTCTCCACTAGGAATCAACAGAGGTTCTGCTTATTTTCCCAGCAGAGTCCTGTTGCTAAGAGATCACGTCCTGTTGAACAAAAATTATCTAGATCCACACGACAAGTGTGTAGAATTTTTGTTAAAGATTCAATCATATTTTAACAACCTGGACTATTATGATAATAGCAAAGAAATACAAATGGTGGCCAGCGAGTAACAGTAAGAAACTTGTTAAGTTTTCACATCAGTATTATAGTCCTAGAACTCCTACATTCCAAAGGATGAAAATAGCATGTCTGCATTTTACTTTAAATGTTTTAATGAATAGAAAAATAATACGGTCACTCTCTTACAATCCATCACTCACTGCACTAATTTTGGAGTCTTCAATGGATTACAGAAAAAAATGTATTTCTGTAAATAATGGAACAAAACTGCAGGGTAACAGGGTAGGTATACTTTAGAATCCTTGTTCAAATTTATACTACCAATGCCTAAATGTTTTGTCTAGGAAATCTCAAGTATACTTCAACCATCAACTCATTATTTGTGTGTGTGCACATGTATTTGTGATGATTCTGATCTTTCCCTTCCTTGCCTTTGTTTCTTCCCAAAGGAGACAAGGGATTCTTCATGAGGTATTTCTCACAGCTTCCCTGACACTGGTTTTCTTTAAGCAGGAACTGTCTATTATGGTTGACCTAGGCCTGAGTAGCAGAAAAACACTGTGGGACAGTGGAGTGAAGTGGGGGGGGGGGGGTGGTATGTGTGTGTGCACTCACTCTTACCAGGACCTATCCCTTACTGTCTGTTTCCTAATGCACGCAATATAATGTCTGCATTCCAGTAGTTGTATTAATGGAATCAGTACCTAGTGCTCCCCCTTCTAGGATATACATTGCAATTCTCTCTTTCTGGGACTCTGTTTCTACCTATAAAAAGACAATAATACTTTTCCTCCTTCTGTGAAGTCCTCAGAGCCAAAAACAGAAGACTCCAAGATTTACTAGGTATTTTCAGCATAACAAATGAAATCTATTTTCACATTCATCTAGAAAGTTGTTGCTAAGTATTTTGCTTTTGATACTATCATGACTAGAATTGTTGCCTTAACTTCACTTTTGTTTCTTCCACTATCATATTTCATTTGCAATATAGAAATCTCTACTAATTCACACAACATATACATTATTGTTCCTATTTAGCCAATGAAAAAACTGAAGACCATAGTGAGTTTTTATATGTTAATTAACTCAGCAAGTGAATAATAGCATAATTTTCCTATATTATTTGTTAATAAATACATTAGGGATATAAAATTAATATATTTGTTGTAATTTCTGATCTATTTGGGTCTCCTGCCTAATGAAGGTTAAATAATGTGCTCAATAATAGACCCAGTAAGTACTTGAACCACTAAGGTAGGAGCTGCATTAACTTCACTTCCAGAATGTTCATTTCTTGTATACAGAAATACAACTGATTTTTGTATAGTGACCTTGTATCTTGCTGTGGTATTAAGTTCCATTATTAGTTTCAATAATCAGTGGTTAATTCTTCACAATTTCTCATTATTATTCTTTTCCAATCTAGATGTATTTTACTTACCTATGTTGCCAAATGACCTGGCTAGCACTTCCACAACAATGCTGAATGCTGTATTATATTGATTCTGTCTTTTCTGGTTGCTGAGTCAAAATACTTGACACCCAAAGTTAAAGGAGGAAATCTTTATTTTGGCTCACAGTTTATAGAGGTTTCAGTTCATAGTTGGCTGGCTCCAAGGCAGGGTAGCATGGCACAGGGGAAACACAGGGGAGAAATAGTTCATGGCAGGCAGAAGGCAACAAAGCAGTGAAATAGCAAATAAGCAACAAGTGAAAGCAGTGACAGCAGCTCTCTTTCTGTCCCTTATATTTTATCCAGGCTACATGCTCTTAGGACAGGTAGCACTCACATTCTTAATCCTAGCATCACGGTATGAATCAATCCTAGCATCACATCCTTAATCACAACATCACACACTCTAGATTCAGCCACCTCCGAAAAGTTTTACCTATGACTTCACAAGGCTTTGGGGGAACATCTAAACACAAGCATAGCAGATTCTAATCTTAGAAAATAGACATTTCATGATTAAATATATTAACTGACAGGTTTGAGTCAGGTTAAACAGTTTGTGTGCTACTAGAAATTTGTCTATTTTACTTAAAATTATGTAATGCATTGAAACATCATTTTTTATATTATTATACTTTACACATTCTTGTTTCTGTAAGGTTGGTAGCAATACTTCTTCATTAATCTTTGGTTTTAGTTATTTGAGTCTATTTCTTTCCTGATCTAACTGAAAGTTTTTTTAACTTTTCATCTATTATAAACTATTTTGTTCACTTCTATTATCTCCAATTTTACTCTTTGATTTCTGCTGTAACTGTTATTTCCATCCTTC